CCCATTAAAAAGTAGCTTTCAAGGCTGGGTGACGTGGCTCATGCCTGTAATCCTAGCACCTTGAGAGGCCAAGGTGGGCGGATCATTTGAGGTCAGGAGTTTGAGATCAGCCTGACCAACAAGGTGAAACCCCATCTCTACTAAAAATACAAAAAAAATTAGGCATGGTGGCCCCTGCCTGTAATCCCAGCTACTTGGGAGGCTGAGGAAAATCACTTGAACCCGGGAAGCGGAGGTTGCAGTGAGCCCAGATTGTGCCACTGCAATCCAGCCTAGGTGACAGAGCTAGACTCTGTCTCAAAAAAAAAGTGGTTTTTTAGTTTTAATAGAGAAAAAAGCTGTTTGAATGTTTTTGTATAATTATCTAACCTTAATAGAATAAAAAATAAGCTGATGTGATTACAGTAGATTCAGTATTATGTATTATAATACAGCCTTATTAATTCAGCAGAATTATGGTTGTGTGTGTGTGTGTGTGTGTGTATTAAGAGCACTTAACATGAGTTCTACTACCTTAACTAAATTTTAAGTATACAATACAGTATTGTTGACTAGAGGTACAATGTTATATAGCAGATCTCTAGAAGTTAACCATTTTGCCTAACAGTTGTGGGTTTTGGTTTAAAAAAAATTAGAACTTGATTTTACTTGGTGTTTTCCTTAATATTTTCATTTACATGAATTTCCATGCAAATTCTATCATAGTGGAGCAAAATGTTACCAGGGGGACAACTGTAAATTTTCCCATGATGATCTGACTAAAGAAACAAAGAAACTTTTGGACAAAGTGAGTAATATTTTTGTACCTTGATTAGATCTCTCCACAAATACATTTGACTTGAATCATATTTTATAAATCACATTTTATGAAACTGCTGAGAAATTGAAGGTTTGTTTTATATTTTATTCTATTAGAGCAATATTCTTTACCTTTTTGAACTTCATTCTGTTTATAAAAAATGAGGAGTTAGCTTCTCCAAACGATTTCAACTGTTTTTCCTTTCTCTCTTTCTCACTTTTTCTTTCTTTCTCTCTTTCTTTCTCTTTCTCTCTTTCTGTCTTTCTCTGTCTCTTTTTTGCTTGCTTTTTCTTCTTTCTCTTTTTCTTTCTTTCTCTCTCCTTTTTTT